TTTTTCCTCCCTCTATCCATAGTAGAATTGAATTAAAAAGACCTATTTTTCTTCTAGTTTTGGCATGCATTTTTAGAAATATTTGATCTTTGATCCAACTAGATTTTATTTGGTATTAAAGAGAACTAGAATACAATATAATTTTTCCCCAAAATTAAAATTTATTTCAAATCACCAGTTAAATAATCCATATTCACTGATTTGAAATACCATACTTATACTAAATTCTGTTTATTCTGTTCTATTATGTCTACCTAGTTTTATACCAGTGCTATACCATTTAAATTACTATAGATTACTGTAGCAATATATTTTAAACCTGGTAGGGCAAGTTTACTTGAATATTTTAATTTAAATGGTGTTCTCAGCTCTTATTTCAAGGTTATAAATAGTTTGGGTATGATGAGGAAGGCGTTGCTATTACAGATCAAGTCTTTGATCTTATCTTTGCTGCAGATATACTGAAAACACATCTCTTTCATTGTCCTGTCACATCATCTTAGGAACGTTGTCTGCTAGTGATGGAGAAATAGAGTTATGTAATAAACTTACCACAAAGAGTATTTCAGCTTAAAGTATTCAGTGATGATTCATTATATTATTTTCTGTTAAATTACCCTGAAAAAAATACACATGCTTTGGTTCTACCAGATTCCTGCCTATTTTTGTTGGGCAGCAGTTCTAAAGTGTTTTTTCTGCCTGATGCTTCCGTCTTTCTTCCTTTCTTAAATATGTGTATCTGTAATAAGATGTATAGCACAGTGCTAATTTCCAGGCAAGTTCCAGCCTGTGATTATTTACTAACCCACAGGGATTAAAGGTTCGTCAGCCAGTAAGATTTTCTCTCTTAAGCCCTAGGCATTTGGTATCTTGCTGGTCTTCTCTGTAATATGTTACATCTTGCTTAGTTTTGGCACAATTATCTAAATACATATTTGATTTTTATCAGGAACTTGTAATTTATGTGAGGATGTAAGTAATTGCTGAAAAGAACTTTGCAATTTGATTAATAAAGCATCTTTTAATCTTAGATAACTTTCTCCAGGAATCTGTTTAACTAAATCTTTTTTTTTTGCAACTGGCCAGTACAGGGATCAGAACACTTGACCTTGGTATTATAACAGCGTGCTCTGAACAACTCAGCTAACCAGCCAGCCCATTTAACTAAAACTGAATTTAACAATTTGAATGTAGTATTTGAACAGTTAAGGTTATAATTATAGGCATCATGTGAACAGAGCCTCTGTTGTTCAGCACTATACCCCCAATACCTAAAACTGTGCCTAGGCACATAGTAGGTACTCAAATATTTATTTAATGATTAAATATACATTTACAATAAAGAATGGAAGAGTAGTAATACTTGTACTTTATACCTAGATAATGGATGTTTTTGAAGATCTCAAATTTCTTTAGTTTTTTCAGTCAATTAAGTACTGGGGGAATAAAGATGCAAAGATATGGTCCACATTCTCATTCATTTTATTTTTTCAATAAATATTTATCAAGTCCAATTACTTTGTGCCAAGACACTGTTCTAGGAGTTGGGAATAAAGGAGTGAACAGGCATGACTATGGCCCCTGCCCTCATGTTGCCTATAGTTTAGCAAGAGACAGGTGGGAAGAGGAAAGGGAGCTGGAAACTTGGATACAAGATATGTAAACCAGTTGGCCTGTTTGTTTGGCAGAATATTTGTTTGTTTTCCTTTTTTCTGTTGCCACTCTCTGTAGTGTCATAGTAATCATTACTAATCCGGTCCCTGTAAGGATTTGGGTTGTTGACCCTTTGGTTTAGAATATAGTGGGAAGACCAAATTGCACATAATGAGATTACAACGTGAAAATTGTTGTAATAGCTTCATTGCAAGGAGACTTTGGGAGAACCAGCTCCTTAGTTGAGGAAGTAAAGAGTAGCACCATGGTGTGATGGAGAGAACTAGATGAAGAATCACAGATACAGGTTCAGATGTGTGCCCTTGGCCATGTGATTTAACCTCTTTGGGCCTTCACCTGTTGCTCTTTAAATGAGAGAGCTATGCTCCAGAGAGCCTTCTCAGACCCACCCCTCGCTCTGAACCCCCGACCAGAACATATCTGCTTTTTCTGTTCTGCATGTTGGACTTCTCTGAAAGATTTTGTTTGAAAAGTGAGTTCCTTGGTTAGGAAAGGTTTGAAAATCTATGAACTAGATCACCTCCAAAATCCATCCAGGCCAAGCATCCAGTGATTAATACGTCTAATAGTCCATGCGTGTTCACTGCTAAAATCCCACCAAAAAACAAAACAAAACAAAAAACAACTTCTTGTCAGGTGAAAATACCTTTTGCCCTTACGGAAGTCATTTGATTGAGATGAAGGTCACACAGAGGGTTCATGATAATTTGGGTTCAAAATCCAAAAGTTTTGGTTCTTTATAAACTGTTTTTTTCCCAGTGGTCCCATATGACAAAGCCTCAATTGCATTGTTTAAAAAGCTATTTTGCACCGAAGGATTTTAGAGAGTCACATGCTTTATGTTGTTTTGATGTCTATTTTTCTTTACATTTCCTTCTAGCTATCATCATTATCTAGGATATTTATGTAAAAATATACTGGAATTTTTTGAGAACATCTCTCCCTGCATACTGTTTGTTCCATCTTTTTCCACTTTTCTCTTTTTTGTTTGTGACAGAATATGATTATTGTGGATGTGGTTGTGATTTCAGTGAGCAATAGGAACTATTTTCACATAGCTCTTGCCAGTAATTAAGCCCAAGGGAAGAAAACCAACCTCAGAAGGAAAAAGGAGAAAGTAGAAGAAAGATTGTGCGAATAATTGTTTAGCATTTACTAGGTATGACCTTACTAATTACTTAATCCCTTTGAGCCTTAGTTTCCTCTTCTATAAAACAGAGATCATAATACCTCCCATAGAGCCTTGCAGTAAGGATTAATAGATGTAAAGGAGGTATGTACCTAGTCTGGTGGTTGGCCTACTGTAGGCATGTAAGTTAGAATTTCTCTTTTCTTTCCTGTTTTCCTGTGCTGTTAATTCTCCTTTGGAATTTTCCTTCCTTCCTTCCTTCTTCCCCTCTTTCCCACTAATGTTTATTGAATACCTGTTGTGTGCCAGGCATTGCTCTACATGCTGGGGACACGGCAGTGAATAAAACAAAGTATCTGTCATCAGGGAGCATGCATTCTGGTGTCTCCTGCTTACTTAGATGCAGTTACCATAAAGGACTAGTATTCAGAATAAATAAAGAACTCTTAGAGCTCAGTGATGGAAAGATAACCCAATTTAAAATATGGGTAAAGGATTTCAATAGATATTTCTCCAAAGAGGATCTGTGAGTGGCCAGTATACACATGAAAAGATGCTTAATATCATTAGTCATGTGGGAAATAGAAATCAAAACCACAATGAGATAACACACCACACCAACTAGGATGACCGTAATCAAAAAGACAGACAATGGTAAGTGTTGACAAGGATGTGGAGAAATTGTAATTCTCATACATTGTTAATAGGAATCTAAAATGGTGTAGCTACTTTGGAAGACATTCTGGTAATTCCTCAAATTGCTAAATAAGAGTTATCATATGACCCAGCAATTCTACTCCTAGATATCTGCCCAAGAGAAATGAGACTTGTCTGTATAAAAACTTGTAATGAATGTTTTTGGCAGCATTAGTCATGATAGCCAAAAAGAGGAGATAATCATAGTATCCATCAACTGATGAATAGATAAAAGTGGTATATCCATAAAATGGAATATTGTTTGTCAATAAAAAGTAAAGAAGTAGTGATAGATGCTGTGGTGTGGATGGACCCTGAAATCATTATGCCAAATGAAAGAAGTCAGTTACAAAAGAACACATTTTGGATGAGCTTGTTTATATTAAATGTCCAAAATAGGGAAATCTGCAGAGACAGAAAGTAGATTACTTTTGGCTGGGGGTGGGGGTGGGGGGAAACAGGGAGTGAGTGACAGGAATCAACTGCTATAATAGATATGAGGTTTCTTTTTGGAATGATGAAGATGTTCTAAAGTTATAGAGATGGTTGCACAACTCTGTAAATATATTAAAAACCATTTAATTGTGCACTTTAAATGGGTGAACTTTGTTATGTACATTATATCTCAATAAAACTGTTTTAAAATGTGGTTACCGTCCTTTCTTATATCTTCAACCATTTCACTGGTTCCTTCTCCTTTTTCTCATATGCTCAGCCTTCTTGTCCTAAAACAGAACAGGACAAATACAAACCCCTCTGTGGGCTTCCTTGCTACTGCCATCTATGTTTTTTTCTTCCCTCTACAGCTAAGACTCCTAAAAGTTAGAAAATAAGTAATTTAGAAATAGTTCTTTGTGGAAAAGTTAGAAATTATAGATAAGCAGAACAAAGAAAAATTTTAGACATTTAATCTTACTACCTAGAGATAATCATTGTTGACATTTATATCATTTTAGCATTAAAAATTGACATCTCTTTTTATTTTCTAAGAGAAGTACTGTTGTAGGGAAAGGTTTATTAAATTATTATACTAAGGTAGAACCTTGGAATATATTTTAGAAGATCTTAATCTTCTGTAATAACATTAAGTATGGTGGGCTTTTATGCATGATTTGATTTTTTAACCTTTAGGAATTGTCTAAATCAAATTTGAGGTCATTAAAACCTGATGCTTTGGAAAGTTCACGCTCATTAGACAATGTGGATGGAACATACAAAGCGTTGTTGCCTTTTATGCCACACTTGTTATATGGCTTTTGCTTAAGCTGCAGCCTGATATCACAAGAGAATTTCAGTCTTAAATATTTTAAAGTGTGTTAAAGCACCATGCCCTGTGAAATAAAAATTTCATGGGTTCCGTTCAGCTTCTCTGGACTGTTCAAAATGTCTGGTTGACATTGGCTGCGCATTAGGATGTCAGCTGATCAGATGGATGGATTTCCTGCTTTAGAAATCATATTGAGCTAATTTCATTGATCTTTTCTCCCTTTTGCATGTGTAGAGTTAGACTGGCTGAGCAACCCAAGCTTTTGTGTTGAAACCATAACGTCACTGAGCCAACAAGCTGAGAAGGCCACAGCACTTGTTTCTGAAGGGACACCATTAACAAGGTAGTTTTTGATGCATGGGTTTTAGTCTTTGTCAGTATACCATCTAGAGCTTAGCTTAAATGATGCTCCTTAGAAAACCCTGTGATAAAAGAGCTAAGTAAATCTCTTTTTTTGAATTTAAAGTAATGAGGTGATCTTTATTTTCCCTAACTCACTCTTATAGATTGTTCTTTTTTTTCTTTTGCATTGCAGTGGCAAGCACACTACACAGTTAGTGCCTATAATTAGGCCATGAGGGAAATGGCATCATTGTGATTATTAAGTAACTTTACTAACCTCATTAGTAACCTTTGGAATCAGATATTTCTTTAGTTGTATTTTTTTTATTATTTATTTATTTACTTACTTATTTTTAAAAAGATGACCGGTAAGGGGATCTTAACCCTTGACCTGGTGTTGTCAGCACCACGCTCTCCCAAGTGAGCTAACCAGCCATCCCTATATGGGATCCGAACCCGTGGCCTTGGTGTTATCAGCATCACACTCTCCTGAGTGAGCCACAGGCCGGCCCTTTAGTTGTTTTTCTTAACACTTTTGTAAAAGTAGAAGGAACTCATATAATATCACATAGGATAAAATCTCACAAAAACATTGGGGAAAGCAGAATGGAACATATCTCCACCCAAATCTCTTTCCTGCGAAAGAGTTTTGTTGTAGATCATTGAATTGAGAAACTGTGCTTTCTCACAGATATGGACGGTCTCATTAATAGGGTGAAAGCCCTGTGAAACCCCATACTCTGAATGTGTGAGAAGCCTTTGGAAATTGAGAATAGTTGACGCACAGAGAGGGGCTTTGTAGATATTTCAGTAATGAGGAAGAAGAACTCACTGTCACCTTTAAAAACAAGGACCGCAATCAAAAATCTTTTTTTTTTTTTTTTTTGTTATGAAGACATATTGCCGTAATATGTGGCACTGAAAATAAACCTGTTACAATGTTGCTTTAAAAGAATACTATATTTGATAACTGGTAGGTTGCTTGCATTTAAAAATGTATACGTATGAAAGTGTACTATAGAAACTATTAAAATAAGAATTTATTCACCTGTGTTTATTTTAGGTTTAATTCCTAAGTCTTTAAGGTGAGTTGTAATCCAGGAAGTTACTGTATAGAAATGAGCAAATAGCCTGTGTGAGCATTTACAGCTTTCCCTATTACATACTTATTTGTTTATTTACTTACTTACTTACATATTATTCCCCCTCCTTCTCTTTTGAAAATAATTCTAAGGTTGATTTTCCCAAACTAGGAGTCCTCTGAAATCAGAGCCTTTAGATGAAAGTGATACTGACAAAAGGCTCAAACAAACAAGCAGGAAAAAGAAGAAAGAAAAGAAGAGAAAAAGGAAGCATCAGCACAAGAAAAAGAGAAAACATGGGCAGTCAAGTAGCAGCGGATCTGAGTCAGATACTGATTCTGAAAAGGACGCATCTTCCAGAAGCATCACAGGCAGTAAAAAGGAATCTGATAAACCAAAGTAGGTTGCTTATTTTCAGATACTTACGATATTTTAAATCTTGAATTTTTCTCCTTTGATTATTGCCACAAGTTAGACATTTGAATGATTATTTAGCCATCAATCAAAAGAGAGCTCTTCCATTTGATCAGCTTTAAAAAAAAAATGAAAACTGTCATGAGAAAATCAGGGGCATGATTTTATTTGAGAAATGTTATTTAGACACAGTGATGATTGTGTTAAAATCTGATTTAGAGAAAAAGTCTTTGGGATTTTTGAAAGGTGGCAAATGTGACCCATAGTGGGGATATGGTCAATACACATAATTAAGGGCTCCATCTTTGAGAGCTAATGGCCCTCACACTCAGAGTAAGAGAAACATCTTATTTCTCTTCCTTGATATATCTTTTGTTCACTTCTGTCAGCTCCTGCGTGTACACACACACACACACACACACACACTCACTCTGATCAGGGTTATATAGCACTTAAATAATTATTGCGTCTTTCCTTCTTTTCATGTTTCACATTTGTTTAGAACCTCTGTGTTGAAGGTGTAGAGTAGCTCATGACCACAGTACTTCCTTTCCTTGGGGGCTTCATTTCTTCCCGTATTTCATTCTGCCATCACCCTTGAGCATATCATTCCAGTCATTTTACAGAACGGTCACAGCATAAGTACTCAATATAGCTTTCCTCTCTGCTTAGTTGAACATCCTCCTACACAGAGAGGCACTTTGCCTGTGGGTGGGACAGGTGATATGTGGTAAAACTATCTGAATTGTTGCCCATTTAGCTTTTTTCTTTTCCTTCCTCATATGGTCTAGGAGAGAGAAAATTTAAGTACCTATCCAGGGCATACTTAAAAAAAAGTAGTGCTGTTGAGATTTTTGCAACTCTTCAGGGATTATTTACTTTTGTTGTGTCTCGGAGTTCCATTGATGTCAGTGAGAGCCCTGCTTTGGAGCGAGTCTGGAACCTGGACCTTAGTGTTTACATCAGAGTCAAACACCACAGTCTTCTGGGATCCCTCTGTCATCAGATCAGTTTTGGAGAGCACTGCAGGCCTTCTATGGCTCAGAGGAGCCAGATTTATTTAGCTCTCTGTATCTCAAGTGCTGTACCTGTAACCCAAGTTTGCTTTTGGGAGGAAAAAATAAAGGAGTTAAGCAAAAAGGTCCTGAATTTAACTGAGTTTATGAGGGCAAGAACCATGCCTGCCTTGTTTAACACTGTATCCGCCTGTACTTGGGACAGGGGATTCATAAAACAAATTCATATAGCATTTTTGTTATATGAATGTATGAATGATTATATCTTGGCTTTTTAATATGTCTTCAAAGCAGATCACTTTAATTGTTGTATCTTCTAAAAACTCACATTTTAACTACTTGTCCTTTTTAATAGCTGACGGAAATGAGTTTTAAAGGTTTTCCCCAAATCGTGCAAGAATTGCTGTTAGAACCTGAAAGATAGTTAATTTCAGCCTATATTTAACCACATTAGAGGGATCTTTGTAACCTCTTGGTAGTTTTATGATCCAGATAGCATTTTTAAGTTTGTTGATATTTTTTCAGAATATCCATATTAAGGTCAAAATAGATTGTTCTTATGCTTTTCTTTTACCATCTTGGATTAACTTTTGTAGTTTCTTCCTGGGAAGGTGACCTGGAGGAATTGTTTGTTTCCACATAGACAAGGACTAAGATATTAATGAGTTGTGAGAGTCTTTCCTTGATGTCAGGAAAGTGGGTTCATGGAGGGTAGCAAATCATATGGGACTCTATTTCAGAGTGATCAAGGGACGACTTCCCCAGAGGTTGCAGCTACTAATTGATCTTTGTTTCCTGGGATGACCTTTTCTTCACCTTCAAGTGGAGACAGATCCTTCCTTGCACATAGCCCAGACCACATCCTGCTTCCTGACCTCAATACTCATTAGGGAAGGGATAAGGGCTTGTTTACTCCCCAGGGGTGGTCTGCAGCTGGCCATTCCTCCCTCCACCCCCTTCATTCGCTTTCCATTTCTTTTTGGTTTTTTTTGGTGGTGGGCCAGTACTCCATTTCTTTTTGGAATGCATCAGTCTCTTTCCAGTGGGATCTCCCTCCTTTCACTTATGATTTTTGTAGAGAGAAAATCCCCCATAGTTGATCTGAAGGGGAGTGTGTTAAAATCACTATATATTTTAACCAGAGGCTGATCATTCAACAAATATTTATTGAGTAGCTACTTTGTATCCCTGAAATGCCATTCCCTTGTATTCCCTGCCAAGAATGATTTAGAAGTCTCTACAGTCTTTTATCTGTATCTGAGCAGAGCTGAAAAGCAAAGATGGAACAACAGTTGATGACTGTTTTGACTACTTTGGCACCTTCTTGGGTCAGCAGAATTATGAACTGATTTTCTTTAGAGGAGGAAAGATGTTAGATGCCAGAAAAACCTTCCTTCCCTCTCATTTAACTCCAGGGGAAGTGGTTTCATTTGTATCTGAGCTGAAAGTCTGTAGCTCACAAATTGGTTCAAAGAGATCAATAAGAGTCTTGTTTTACAGCAGACTTTCACGATTCTACCCTTTATGTAGGTGGTCCAGATGTATAGGCAAAACATCGTGTAGACTCCAGACTGTAGAAATGAGACTGAAACCAAGCCTAAGTAATATTGGAGACTGAACAGTTCAGAACTGTGGCTTTTTTTTTTTGTTGTTGTTGTTGTAAGTTTTGAGTTGAAATAAACTATGTGAGCACTTTGAAATAAGGTGTGGTAGTTCCCTCTGCCTCTCTAAAGTGCCTCAGAGCAGGGATGCTTTTTAGAAAAAAACTTTGTTTATAAATATATTTGAAATTCAAGTTACAATCATTTAAATGAAATATTTAAAAAGAACTCCTAAATCTTTCAGGTTAATTTCTGAGATAAGGGGACTTCTTGGTGAAGTGTCATTTCATGGTGACAGATTTTGCTTATTTTTTAAAACTTTTCCTAGAGCAGGAGTCCTCTTCCCAACTCTGTGGCATGTGCACATTTTATGTACTGAGGTGCGTTTGATGCCATGTGGGGTTTGAAACATTTAACTTTCATATTTCTGAAAATGCCAAATATGTTACTGGAAGATTTCTGAAGTGCCTCTCCCTTTTCCTTCTTCACATGTCTTTGTCCCACAGTCAAGGAAATAATGCTGCTGCCGACGTTGGACATCGCTTAGTTTGGCTTGAGGACATTCAGGCTCTGGCAGGAGAAACCTTCAGAACAGATAAGAAACCAGATCCTGCAAACTGGGAGTATAAATCTCTCTATCGAGGGGATATAGCAAGGTACCAATCATGTTTTTCCCTGATTTTTGCTGTTGGGCGGTAACTTCTTTCTCCTTTGAACTTTCTCATTACTGTCTTCCTGTTTGCTTTTCTCTCTCTCATAGATTCTGTTGGGTTTTATCTGTTGTTAAGTTGTGTAGGCACATGTTTCATCTCACATTCTAAAGTGAAAACTTAAACGTTGAGGTCAGGTTGGATTAATCTTATGTATCCCTGGTGATTGGCATTGTGTTTGGCAGAGTAGGTGTTCCATAAATGAATGAATCTAAAAATACCTTATAATAATTAATTGTGACAAAGTACCCAAAAACCATTTGGTCTAATCTGTATGCCATTTTAAAAAGTTGCAGAAGCCTTTTATTTATCCCCACTACATATGCCATTTACAAAATGGCATTTAATGGTAAGGACGTTTTCAAAATGTTTCCAGCATACACCACCACATAATCATAAAAATAGGTGGTGATACTTGCTTCAGTAATGAGCTTGAACTTTCCCCTCTAATCTGTCAATCAAAAGTGTTTGAGTATTTACTAAACCCTTTAGACACTTAGTACTTTGTAAGAAACTGTTGGAACATAAAAAACAATAATACACAATCTCCCAAACAGTTGACAAGTGATGAAAATTGAAGCTAGAAAATCATGGAGTGTAAAACTCAGAGGAGATCTTGAAGATCACTATTTTTAATAGGCTAATTACTTTTTAAAATAAATTTCATTTTCCATTGCCTTGCTACACCTACAAATCTGAATAATATTTTCACTCATCCTGATGTTATACCTTACCACGTTAACAATTCCAACTAAAATTTCCTGTATAGTAGGTTTATATCAGTTGCTTTTCAGTGCATATTTAATTAATATACTGTTAACTAAAACCTCAAAGCTGAGAGTAAATGAGTGTCATATTTAAAAGGTACTCATATATTTTTGAATTATTTTAATACTCCCTGAAGTCCTGTCTGACTTCCATGCTGCCACAGGGTAGTGCCACAGATATGGTGGGTGCCCAGTAAAAGATGGGGAAGCCAGCAAACACTGATTGGGCATGGTCCTGTGCCTGTTTTCTCCTGTGTTAGCCTTTCTGATCCTCACAGCTGCTCTGTGAGCAAGAGGAGAGCACTCTCATTTATGGAATCTCAGATCGGTTAAGTTATAGCTCAAGAGCATGCAACCAGGGAGCAGCAGGGTTGGGATTTGAACCTGTGTTTCTCTGATTTCAAATATTCTTTCACTGTCCACAAATAAAGATGAGACAGGTTGTGTGGTAGGACATTTTCTAGATGTGAAAACAGAGGACTCTGGTTGTCATTGTGACTTTGCCATTTTCCAGCAGTATAATCCCAGGCAAATCACCTAACCTGTCTGAGCCTCAGTTTCTTCATTTGTAAATTGGGAATTGTAACTCCTGTCATGCCTTGCACTCACATATCAGAGATATTTGATATGGAATTGGAAATTGGTGTACAAATATAAAGGGTTATTTATTAATAGATGGAAAAAGGAGAAAATAGTAACAAAGAGTGGCTCTTGAGCTTCTACTAATGAATGGCACAGACCTTAGGAAGAGAGTAATTAGAGATAACTTTATTAATTTAAACTGCAGAGATAATACTATTAAAGGGCTTAGGGCAGTTGTGATTTCTTTGTAACTTAGTAAAGTTTAAGTGAGGTACATCTTGTCTGTATTAATAGCGGTATGACTATTAGCATCCAGGTCTAGGAGATATTAATCCCATGGCACTCTGAGCTGGTCAGAAGGCAGTGGGAGTATTGTATCAGGCACTGAATTTTCCCACTTTAAGAGGGACAGTGAGGGTTACTTATGACTTGACTAGCACCATCCTTTGAGGACTACTTGAGAGGTTATGGATATGTTGCCTATGGCAGGGATATGATCATTGATCTTTGCTCAGCTGTGCTTTGGAAGGTGGCTGGACAATGTTCTTTGTGACTTGGGAAGGCAGAATCAGGACTACTGAGTGGAAGTTCCAGGAAGTCAGATTTGGCTTAGTATAAAAGCACATCTTCTACTGGTGTGAGCATCCCAGCAATGACATGGTATGTGTTGGTGTGTTTTGGTAAACGGGTTAGGTTCTACAGTTAGTGTATAACGTGGAAATTATATATCAGTATTACCTTCAGAAAATTCCTTAGGACTAATACACTGTCAGTGGAGTTCAGCTCAGTCAGTTTTTTCTCCATTTTTGGAATAGATTGCTGTTTCTTTGACTATACACCAGATAAAATAGTTAGCTTACATATAGGAGTCAAGCTTTATAAGATAATAATAATTTAAACTTATCATATTGTTCTAAGGACTTTACAAATATGAACATTTTTGAGCATCCCAGGAATTCTGTGGCATAGGTACTGTTATTCTCCCTATTTTATAGATGAGGAAACTGGCACAGACAGGTTTTAAAAACTTGATCAAGGTCCCTCAGCTGGCAAACAGTGCAGTTGGAATTTGGACCCAGGCAGTCTGGCACTGTGAGGAACATGTGAGAATGGAAGCCACTGAAGGAAAGGCGAGTTTATGTTGTCCATCCTCGCAGACTCCTGGGCTCAGACCCACTGAGCAGATTCAGGGCAGGATTGTGTGCTCCATTTAAATGTACTCTCGCTCTTCCTCTTCTCATTCCAACCCCCATTTTATATGTGTGGCCAAGTACCTGTAGCTGCATTCATTTAAATGAAATGTACATACGATGTCATTCCCTGAACTTCCAAACAAAGTGAGGGTTCCTACTTCTAGAATTATTCAGGTGAACACTAGCTGATTATTTGATAGGGATTTTATAGGAAAAGTGCCTTCATTTGGGGGAATATTGCAATATTACACCCTAGGTCCTGTGCAGTTATTAACTTTCTGTGATAAGTGATAAGCTGATACAACCTAAATGTCCAACAAGAGGGAAATGGTTAAAGTTTGAAGCCAATAAAAATTATATTTTTAAAGATTAATGGTTTTGGGGAAATGCTTAAAAGTAGGGGGTAAAGCCTGAAACTATACAACATTAACTGTTTTAGAAAAGGATGTGTGTATATACCTATAACTGTATACAGAAACACGTATCTGAAAGTAGATGATAATATCAACCCGTACAATTCTTTTTTTCTCTTATCATTTTCATCTAATATGCTATAAAAAGGTAGCTATTAATTTTAAAGTAAAAAAACTAAATATTTTTAAAGAGATAATATGAATATTTAAAATACTGTACATTTTTAGTGAAACTGAGGAGAAATCAGTACTACTAAAATAGTAGTAATTAAGGAGAAGAAAACTAGCTTTTTACTTACAGTTTGTTCCTTAGGGAATGACAGGCTGACTTAGAGCTGCTTTAGCACTGTTTGATCTCCTCACACCTTTCTGAAGGTTGGTTTTGACTTACAAGTGGAATGGAGAGAGATTATTGTGAGGTAATCTAGAAAGAATTGGGAGGGAGGATAGAGAAACGGTTTGAGAGCGAATTTATATGTAATGTTTTTGAGATTCATCCACATGACATTTATCAGTCATTTGTTCCTTTTTGCTGTCGATAGTATTCCAGTGTATGGCTGTCCCACCATTTGTGTATCCGTTCTTCTGTTGATGGGCACTTGGACTCTTTCTAGTATTTGGCTGTTATGAATAAATCTGCTGAGAATATTTGTGTGCAAGGCTTTGTGTAGACATGGGGTTTCCTTCTTTTTGGATAAATACCTAGGAATAGAATTGCTGGGTTATAGGGTAGGTCTGTGTTTAGTGTTTAAAGAAACTGCCAGACCTCTTCCCAAAGTGTTTGTACCAGTTTACATTTGTACCAACAGTGTATAGGGAGTCCTGGTTACTCCACTGGTTGTTCACTGACATTTGTTATTGTCAGTCCCTTTAATTTTAGCCATTCTGGTGGGTATGTGGTGTATCTCATTGTGTTTTCCGTTTGCATTTTCTTGATGACTAATGGTGTTGAGTACTTTTTCATGTGCATATTGGCCACTCATGTCTTCTTTTGTGAAATTTCAGTTCAGATCTTTTGCCCACTTTTAAATTGGGTTGTTTGCTAGCATATATGGAGAAAAGTGCACAATTTTCCTTAGCTTTTGCCTGCACATATTCAGTAGTCATGTGTTTGTAACTCTGGGGACACCTACACATTCCATAAAAGCATTTTAGAACCCAGCCTCTTTTCCTCTAGAGTAGAAAATAGCCAAATGTAATTTCATTTGGACATACTTTGTTTCAGGATTTAAAAAAGAACCTTAGACCTATATGTGTTATCTTTTTAAGTAGGGACATAAGACAATATTGAGAAAACAGGACTGGACTAGGAGACAAATGGCCAAGGTTCCCAGGTCTCAGTGTCCATATTTAGAACAGTGTAAAAGAGGGGATAATTTCTGCCTTGCCTGTCACATATGACTTTTAATAGTCAAATGACATAATGTATGTTAGCTTTAACTACAAAGCTTCAGGAAAGTAGAAATTACTAAGATCTAGAAGACAGGCATGATCTTAAATTCATGAGATGCTAATGAAGAGGTGAAGTGTTATAGGAAGAAATCAAGCTAGGCAGAAAAGTTAATTGCTAATCCTCGTATGTCTCTAAATAGAAACAATTTGAAGGTGATGTTAATTTGGATATACGCAGTTAACTTGCATAATAAGAGTTTAGGTATAATGAGCCTTCAATCATTCAGAGGTAGTGTATGTATTCCTATGGTAACTTTTTTCTTTTTCTAATATAAGATACAAGAGGAAAGGAGACTCCTGCCTTGGCATTAATCCTAAGAAGCAGTGTATATCTTGGGAAGGAACTTCCACAGAGAAGAAGCACTCACATAAACATGTTGAACGCTATTTTACGAAGAAGAGTGTGGGATTAATGAACATTGATGGAGCTGCTGTTAGCAGGAAAACTGATCTTCCTTTGTCTGATCCAATCTCCTTTATACCAGTGACTGACTCGGATGATGTGGCTCCTCCTGTTACAACCTGGTTGAATCCTCTGGGGATTTATGATCAGTCAACCACACAGTGGTTACAGGGACAGGGTCCTTCAGAGCAAGAATCAAAGCAGCCAGTCTCACAGGCAGACAGCGAGAATGCAATTCTCAAGGCCAAGGTGGAGGAGTTTAACAGGAGGGTTCGGGAGAATCCTCGGGATATTCAGCTGTGGATGGCATTTGTTGCTTTTCAGGTAGGTTTTTGCTGTCCTGGCTCTTTTACCTTAGAATGACATTCCTGATTTTGAGCAAACTGATTAACTCTGTGGCAATTTTTGATCTCCTATGAGGAACCCTGGCACTGGGCTTATAAAGAGTATTAGAATAGAGCCCTTGCCCTGAGCTTGCTCAGAGTCCGCTGAGGAAGACTGATACATGAAGCGTACATGTGCCTTGGGGTAGTAAATGCTGTAATGTGTAATTTGGGAATGAGTGAGGGAGTGACTTGCCATGAGGGAGGAAGACAGGACTGCCACAAGAAGGTGAAATTGGAAGTCTTTTTTTTTTTTTTAACTTTTTAAATTTTAACATTTATTTATACATGTTTGTGGGGTACAGAGTGTTGTTTCAGTACATGCATATGCTGTACATTGATTCACTTAATATAGATAGCACAGCTTTGTACCTGTTAATCCGTCACTTCCCCTCCTCCTAGGTTCTGGTAACCGTCATTCTGCTCTCTACGTCACCAGGCAAAATGCACAGAACTGTGCAAGAGGAAAGGCTGCTCCGTAACTTACCGAGTTAGAGCCATGTGCTCCCTTTCTAAAATGTATGCATTTGTGCTTGTCCCTCATTTTGAACCACTCATGTCATGCAGTTAGCATTGTTTTGTCCTACATTTGGCTGTTTTATTGGTAAGACTGGCTCTTCAGAAAAGGTTTTAGGGCCGGCCCGGTGGCGCACTGGATAGTGCGCCGCTTGGGAAGCGCGGCGGCGCGCGCCGCCCGAGGGTTCGGATCCCACATACAGACCGGCTCCCGCTCACCGGCTGGGCGAGGCGCGGGAGCAATACCGAGGGTTGCAATCCCGGTGCCGGTCCCCGGGCCGG